CCTTAATCCGCGCCTGAGGGGGGACGGGGAGCGACGAAGCGACTAGCGAGGTGTGCGGTGGGCGGGGCAGAGCGATGGCGCACGATGGGTTGCCTGCCCGCCGGGCGCTGGGTCACCCAGGCGTGAGATGGATTGCCTACCGGTCGGGCGCATGACGTCTGCCTTTGCTCGCGCATTCCATCAGACCACCTCACCCCCGCGTTCCCGGTCACGCCCCCGCCTCCTGGAGCGGGCCCCTGCTCTCCAGATGTGGACCTGACCCGCCTCTCCCCGCTCTTGTTCTGCAGGTGCTGGAGCAGGACCGGCACGCGCTGCGCCGCAAGCTCGCCGCCACGGCCTCCGAGGCCGACTCCCGCCTCCTGGAACTCCAGGCGGACGTGCGCGAGCTCCAGCGGGCCGTGGAGGACCGGGAGGCCGCGCTGCGGTCCACCGAGAGGGAGAAGGCGGCCCTCGTCGCCGAGCTGACCGAGCAGAACGCCCGGCTCTCCGCCCAGCTCAAAGAGGTAAGGATAACGGCTCATTAATGGCTTTAACATTTATTACTCTCCTGCCAGATTTTGTTAAGCTTAACCGTTCTTCAATTTTCTGACTTGTATACGTACAGAGCGACTAAATAAGGTGCCTTTGTTTTCTGCCCGTAGTCCAACAAGACTGAAGAACAGCTGACGGCTCAACTACAAGGACTCCGGGACCAGTGTAACCTCCGCAAGTCTTCCCTCCAGGACCATGTCTCTAGTCTGGAGATGCTCAGGGACGAGGTGAGGGAGTCTCGTAGTTTCGGGTCTTGCATCGTCACATTCCTTTCGATTTGTGCTCTAGTCACGACAGCGCGTTACATTTGGCCAGTACCGTGTTTTAAAATTTAAACTTCCGAAAAGTCGACTTTATCACCCAAGGGTGCCCCCCGTTAAAGTGTGGCTGTAGCACTGCTTCGGTCAGCTGCTGCTCGACGTACTTCTGCCGGTCAACTTTATTCATATTGGAGCTGCCAAGGTCGCCATATGGCGCGGTCAGCGCGGCCGCGGCCCGCCGTTCTTATCGCATCGCTCTGTCCCTCCATCTGTCTCTCTAGCAGACGACATTTCCGCGTCTTTCGCGCCGTTTGCTCCCCGATGGTCCTGCTGTGCTCGCGAGCAGCAACGCCTCGCGTCTTCGTCGTGGTGGTGTAGTGTCGTATGTTCTCGTGACCACCGTCGCCGCCTTGGCTCGGTCCGGGTGAGCTCGCGCTGCTCGCGGGCATGCCCCTCGTGTCCTATCGGCAGCAGCGGCGCGCTTTTGCTCTTGTTGTTCCCGACGGGGGTTGTCCGCCTGCGCCCGGGGCTCGCGAGGAGGATGGTGGTCTGGGTCGTGGCCGCCCTGCTGCAGCTCTACGTGGCCATCTGGGTAAATCGCCCCGCAGGATCGTACTGTCGCCGGGGAAAGTTAAAATTCGCGCCCAAAATTTGAGCAAGGTCAATATATAGCTGGCGGCTGCTTGTTACGGGGATGCTGTCATTTCAGCCGGTCGCGTTGATAAGGATCCGACGATGTGACACTTTCTTCTTTTTTTTTTCAAGTTGATATTTAGTATTTGTGGTTTGAAACTGGTGTGTTCGCTCCTCAGATCAACATGCTCTCCGACAAGAAGGCGGAGCTGGAGAGGCGGATGGCCAGCCTGGTGGCCGAGCGGGACCAGCTCAACGCGCTGCTGGAGGACGCCAACGAGAGGATCATGCTCCTGGAGAGGACGACCCGCGAGCAGGAGATGCAGCTGCGCCAGAACAGGCGGGAGCTGGACGAGATCCGCATGGTGAACAGCTCGCTGACCAGCCCGTCGTCCTCGCCGCTGTCCCTCCCCCACGGCCTGGCGCACGGCCACCGGTCGCTGCTCGACGAGATGGAGTGCGAGGACTCGAGCGAGTCCGGCTTCGTGTCCACGTCGGAGCTGCAGAGCCTCAAGGAGGAGGCGGTGGCGTCCTACCGGCAGCTGAGGGACCTGGCCAAGAGGATCAGGAAGGACGACTCCTCGCTGCAGGGCGACTCGCAGTCAGAGTCCGACTCGCTGCCGTCCCTGGACGAGAACAACTGCAGCAAGTTCAAGGTTCGTGTCGCTGGAAAACGATCCTAGTCTTGACTGTACCGCATGCACGCGTGCGGGCGGGTTGGCTGGGGGTCGCTGGGCCATATGGAGCCGTGGGCACCTGCGCATGCGATACAGTATAACTATGAAAGTGCGCGGCGTGAATCAGCCTCCCGTTACAGCAGAAAATGTTTTCTAAAAAGAATTATGCTTGTTTGCAGACTGGGCAGCTGGGCGAGGCGGTGCGCGATGTCGCGCGGCTCGTCAGCGACCTGGTGGAGCGGGAGGGCCTCGAGGGGGAGGCCGCCGAGGTGGAGCTGCACCGCGCCCGGGAGGACCTCGACAAGACCAAGCGCCAGCTGGAGGAGAGGACCGAGGAACTCAAGCGGCGCTCCGACCAGGTCATGGAGCTCACCAGCAAGGTAGGTGACTCGAGCTCCTGGAGGGTCGGGGGCAGTGCCTCCAAAAGGGCAGGCTGTTGCGGGCTCAACGCATCATGCTTGCAGGTGAAAGAGCCCGCAAGAGCCCGCAAGGTAGATTGACAAGCCCGCACGAGCCCGCACATTTTTTCAAGTCTAAAATTTTCATATTATTTCTAATTAAGTTGATTTTTTGCCTCGACATATCTAAAGAATGGCATCCAATAGTAAGATCTGTCAAGGCAAAAAATCTTCCCTCGTCTGACAGTTTATTATATGTCTCCCTGTGTCTTCTTTCGCTAGTTGTCCATTCGCGAGGCTGAACTGGCGGGAGCTCAAGAAGAGAGAGACAGAGCCAGATCTGATATGGATGAAACGCACCTTGCCAAAGACGAGGTAGGATTGGTAGGCACAATTTTGAAGTAATGTCCTTAGTGCTTTGGAGTTTTTGACTGAAATCTAATGTGACCGTTTCGTCATTTATTGTAGATTGTTCGAAAGGCTTGGGAAGTTAGAGATGGTGCTGTTGCTCGCAAAAACAAAGTTGAAGTTCAGCTTGCCAAAACACGTATTGATGTACTACAAGCCAACTCTCAGCTGATGGAGGCCATCCAACAAAAAGTGGAACTAAGTCAACAACTTGAACAGTGGCAGGTTAGTTAATTTGTGTTTTTTATCCTAATTGTTTTGTGTATTATTAACTTTAATTGACCAATGACCATTGTTCTTTCAGATGGATATGCAAGCTTTATTAGATGAACAAATGCGTCGCAAGCTAACAACACAAGAACAGAGGTCACGTCAGGTGGCTCCGGAGTCATCTCCTGAAGCAACAGCTGCTGCAAATGACAAGAAACGAACAACATCAAGTTTGCGACTCTTTGGTCTGTTCCAGCGATAGTTCTCTTGTAAGATATGTAAATTTTATTGTTTTTATTAATGTGTGCAATGCACCGCCATGTTGACTAGATAATAATTTTGTTAAGACTTAGCAGGCAGACTTGCCTTGCTTGATCTATCTGTCATTTCAGCTTTAGTTGTCTTTCATAGGGTCTGACAATCAAAAACCAAATCTTGTTATTGTGCTGAGTTTTGTATCAATTGAATGGAGATATGAATCCTATTCAATTAAAGCTTTGAAGAAGCAATTTTTCCTATTGTGTTGTAACTTTGACAGAACATGTGATACTTTTGACTGAGGATTACTTCTCATACTTAATTGGTTGTGTTTCAATGAGTACCAATGTACTTAACTAATAAGTTAACACTTCTTAGATTTACTATTTACACTAGTCTTCTTATTGTGAACAGATTAAGTTTGCGAGCCAATGAGTATGTTGTGCTGTTTTTATACATATTAACTAGCCTTTTGCTGTTTAGAAGTGCTCTTTATGAATTTTGTACTGTTTTTAATTTTATTAAATTTCATGAAATTTCCCACTGTTTTAGAAAATTTCCTAATTTTGATGCGGACATCTCCCAGTAGTCACTTATATTTTTATTTTAAATTTTGATGGGATATACTTAGTACTTACAACTGCTTAATAAAATCATAAAGATCTGACAACCTTCACTTTCGTAATAACCCTTTCAGTATTCTCAATGAAACTGTTGCGATCTGAAATATATTGTCATTTCAACAGTGATGTTTTTAAATAGATCTAGAAGTAAACCCATCTGGCTCTGGCTTTAGAAAGTAAATGAAATTACTGATACTAAAATATAAGGAATTTTACAAGCTAGGTGGGATATCCCTAAACTGGAGAGAATTATGCCCCGCAAATCTGCACCTATTTTCTTTTTTTAATAGTGCTCTTCTACTATAACTTATTTAGTATCTGTATTTAAGTTTATGAAGCGCATAATCACTTTCTCTGTGGGACCTGCCATTTATCGGCACTAATTCAAATTAAACTATGATCTGCTTTTTATGAAAAATAGTTCTGATAAGAGGTATGCATGTCAGTCTCTTCGACCATTTATTTTTCTTTCAATGTATGAGTTCTATTCTCAGTATTTCACCACATGTGCCTTATTGTTGTACAGTGTTTATTTTAATTTGCCTTTAAAGGGACCTCTAATCCTATTCGAGACCCATAGGTCCTGGGTCCCTGCATCAAGGCCTTGGATTTGAAGCATTATTTTCTGAATACGTTCTTCCAGTGTTTTATTTTTTTCATGCATTGGTGGAATTTCCTTTGAGGTAAGACCTTCAAATCTGAAGCCCTTGATGCATTCGCACTTGGTAAACCATAAGCATTCTACTGCTTGTGATTTTGTTTTAATGTTCTGCTTTGAAAAATGGCAGCCAACCTTGTTTTCTCATAGCATAATTTTGATAAGTTATCACTGTTGTGTTGTGTTCAGCTCTTGTTAGCTGTAGTGCTAGACTCGTCTGTGATAAACTGACAAGTGTGTTTGTCAAATGTACAGAAACCAAAAGTAACTTATGTTATGTGCTGTGGGCAGGACTTGATGCCACAGACTGACAGCCTTAATACAGAGCTACGCTCAAGCTGATGGTCACTCAGACCTTTTCGTTCAGAACAATGAAATATGTATCTAATTACTTTGCTCAAACTCTTCTCTATAGAAAACTAAATAATATGTAACCGGTGAATTTTTCAGAGACAAATTTGGCCTTGCTGCAGCTCTGCTGTTTCAAAAATACTACTGGGAACAGCTTTTTTTGTACGACAATGAAATTGTTCATGTCATATTAACACTAGTCGATGTTAGCTGTTTGTAGTGCTGGTCTTTTCCTTTTTAAAAAAAGTCAGTGTCTGACTTTTCATCACAGTGTACATATAAGCACTACAGGGTAGATGTAAAAAATAAAATACAAATAATTCATGATTGACCTACCATGAAACCCATGAAAACACTTTGTGATTGTTGCTCAGAGCTGATCTCTCTTTCCTGGACCATTAGCTGAGCTCCAGCCTGTTAAGATATCTATGAAGGTGAAGATAATAAAGTAATTTTATCTAATACATTACGCGTGATCTATCCACCTGCTTGCT